AGGGGGGAGAGTGGGGAGGGGGGGAGAAGTGGGGAGGGGGAGAGTGGGGAGGGGGCAGAGTGGGGAGGGGGCAGAGTGGGGAGGGGGCAGAGTGGGGAGGGGGCAGAGTGGGGAGGGGGGCAGAGTGTGAGAGTGGGGAGGGGGGAGAGTGGGGAGGGGGGAGAGTGGGGAGGGGGGGAGAGTGTAAGAGGGGGGAGAGTGGGGAGGGGGGAGAGTGGAGAGGGGGGGGAGTGGGGAGGGGGGAGAGTGGGGAGGGGGGAGAGTGGGGAGGGGGAGAGGGGGAGGGGGGAGAGTGGGGAGGGGGGAGAGTGGGGAGGGGGAGAGTGGGGAGGGGGTGAGTGTGAGAGTGGGGAGGGGGGAGAGTGGGGAGGGGGGAGAGTGGGGAGGGGGGAGAGTGGGGAGGGGGGAGAGTGGGGAGGGGGGAGAGTGGGGAGGGGGCAGAGTGGGGAGGGGGAGAGTGTGAGAGTGGGGAGGGGGGAGAGTGGGGAGGGGGGAGAGTGGGGAGGGGGGAGAGTGTGAGAGGGGGGAGAGTGGGGAGGGGAGAGAGTGTGAGAGGGGGGAGAGTGGGGAGGGAGGATAGTGGGGAGGGGGGTGAGTGGGGAGGGGGGAGAGTGTGAGAAGGGGGAGAGTGGGGAGGGGAGAGAGTGGGGGAGGGGGGGAGAGTGTGAGAGGGGGGAGAGTGGGGAGGGGGGAGAGTGGGGAGGGGGGAGAGTGTGAGAGGGGGGAGAGTGGGGAGGGGGGAGAGTGGGGAGGGGGGAGAGTGGGTAAGGGGGAGAGTGGGGAGGGGGGAGAGTGGGGAGGGGGGAGAGTGTGAGAGGGGGGAGAGTGGGGAGGGGGGAGAGTGGGGAGGGGGGAGAGTGGGGAGGGGGGACAGTGGGGAGGGGGGAGAGTGGGGAGCGGGGAGAGTGGGGAGGGGGGAGAGTGGGAGGGGGGAGAGTGTGAGAGGGGGGAGAGTGGGGAGGGGGGAGAGTGTGAGAGTGGGGAGGGGGGAGAGTTGGGAGGGGGAGAGTGGGGAGGGGGGAGAGTGGGGAGGGGGCAGAGGTGGGAGAGTGGGGAGGGGGCTGAGTGGGGAGGGGGGAGTGTGAGAGTGGGGAGGGGGGAGATTGGGGAGGGGGGAGAGTGGGGAGGGCGAGGGTGTGAGAGTGGGGAGGGGGGAGAGTGTGGGAGGGGGGGAGAGTGTGAGAGGGGGGAGAGTGGGGAGGGGGGAGAGTGGGGAGAGGGGAGAGTGGGGAGGGGGGAGAGTGGGGAGGGGGGAGAGTGGGGAGGTGGGAGAGTGTGAGATTGGGGAGGGGGGAGAGTGGGGAGGGGGGAGAGGTGGGGAGGGGGGAGAGTGCGGAGGGGGGAGAGTGGGGAGGGGGCAGAGTGGGGAGGGGGGAGAGTGGGGAGGGGGGAGAGTGTGAGAGGGGGGAGAGTGGGGAGGGGGGAGAGTGTGAGAGGGGGGAGAGTTTGAGAGGGGGGAGAGTGGGGAGGGGGGAGAGTGTGAGAGTGGGGAGAGTGAGAGTGGGGAGAGTGGGGAGAGTGGGGAGGGGGGAGAGTGGGGAGGGGGGAGAGTTGGGAGAGTGTGAGAGTGGGGAGGGGGGAGAGTGGGGAGGGGGGAGAGTGTGAGAGTGGGGAGGGGGGAGAGTGGGGAGGGGGGAGAGTGGGGAGGGGGGAGAGTGGGGAGAGTGTGAGAGGGGGGAGGGGGGAGAGTGGGGAGGGGGGAGAGTGGGGAGGGGGGAGAGTGTGAGAGGGGGGAGAGTGGGGAGGGGGGAGAGTGGGGAGGGGGGAGAGTGGGGAGGGGGAGAGTGGGGAGGGGGGAGAGTGGGGAGGTGGGAGAGTGGGGAGGGGGGAGAGTGTGAGAGGGGGGAGAGTGGGGAGGGGGAGAGTGTGAGAGGGGGGAGAGTGGGGAGGGGGGAGAGTGTGAGAGGGGGGAGAGTGGGGAGGGGGGAGAGTGGGGAGGGGGGAGAGTGGGGAGGGGGGAGAGTGGGGAGGGGGGAGAGTGGGGAGGGGGGAGAGTGGGGAGGGGGGAGAGTGTGAGAGGGGGGAGAGTGGGGAGGGGGGAGAGTGGGGAGGGGGGAGAGTGGGGAGGGGGGAGAGTGGGGAGGGGGGAGAGTGTGAGAGTGGGGAGAGTGTGAGAGGGGGGCGAGTGGGGAGGGGGGAGAGTGGGGAGGTGGAGAGTGGGGAGGGGGGAGAGTGGGAGGGGGGAGAGTGGGGAGGGGGGAGAGTGGGGAGGGGGGAGAGTTGGGAGGGGGGAGAGTGGGGAGGGGGAGAGTGTGAGAGTGGGGAGAGTGTGAGAGGGGGGAGAGTGGGGAGGGGGGAGAGTGGGGAGGGGGGAGAGTGGGGAGGGGGGAGAGTGGGGAGGGGGGAGAGTGGGGAGGGGGGAGAGTGGGGAGGGGGGAGAGTGTGAGAGTGGGGAGAGTGTGAGAGGGCGGCGAGTGGGGAGGGGGGAGAGTGGGGAGGTGGGAGAGTGGGGAGGGGGGAGAGTGGGGAGGGGGGAGAGTGTGAGAGGGGGGAGAGTGGGGAGGGGGGAGAGTGGGGAGGGGGGAGAGTGGGGAGGGGGGAGAGTGGGGAGGGGGGAGAGTGTGAGAGTGGGGAGAGTGTGAGAGGGGGGCGAGTGGGGAGGGGGGAGAGTGGGGAGGTGGGAGAGTGGGGAGGGGGGAGAGTGGGGAGGGGGGAGAGTGGGGAGGGGGGAGAGTGGGGAGGGGGGAGAGTTGGGAGGGGGGAGAGTGGGGAGGGGGGAGAGTGTGAGAGTGGGGAGAGTGTGAGAGGGGGGAGAGTGGGGAGGGGGGAGAGTGGGGAGGGGGGAGAGTGGGGAGGGGGGAGAGTGGGGAGGGGGGAGAGTGGGGAGGGGGGAGAGTGTGAGAGTGGGGAGAGTGGGGAGGGGGGGAGAGTGTGAGAGGGGGGCGAGTGGGGAGGGGGGAGAGTGTGAGAGTGGGGAGGGGGGAGAGTTGGGAGGGGGGAGAGTGGGGAGGGGGGAGAGTGGGGAGGGGGCAGAGGTGGGAGAGTGGGGAGGGGGCTGAGTGGGGAGGGGGGAGTGTGAGAGTGGGGAGGGGGGAGATTGGGGAGGGGGGAGAGTGGGGAGGGCGAGGGTGTGAGAGTGGGGAGGGGGGAGAGTGTGGGAGGGGGGAGAGTGTGAGAGGGGGGAGAGTGGGGAGGGGGGAGAGTGGGGAGAGGGGAGAGTGGGGAGGGGGGAGAGTGGGGAGGGGGGAGAGTGGGGAGGTGGGAGAGTGTGAGATTGGGGAGGGGGGAGAGTGGGGAGGGGGGAGAGTGGGGAGGGGGGAGAGTGCGGAGGGGGGAGAGTGGGGAGGGGGCAGAGTGGGAGGGGGGAGAGTGGGGAGGGGGGAGAGTGTGAGAGGGGGGAGAGTGGGGAGGGGGGAGAGTGTGAGAGGGGGGAGAGTTTGAGAGGGGGGAGAGTGGGGAGGGGGGAGAGTGTGAGAGTGGGGAGAGTGAGAGTGGGGAGAGTGGGGAGAGTGGGGAGGGGGGAGAGTGGGGAGGGGGGAGAGTTGGGAGAGTGTGAGAGTGGGGAGGGGGGAGAGTGGGGAGGGGGGAGAGTGTGAGAGTGGGGAGGGGGGAGAGTGGGGAGGGGGGAGAGTGGGGAGGGGGGAGAGTGGGGAGAGTGTGAGAGGGGGGAGGGGGGAGAGTGGGGAGGGGGGAGAGTGGGGAGGGGGGAGAGTGTGAGAGGGGGGAGAGTGGGGAGGGGGGAGAGTGGGGAGGGGGGAGAGTGGGGAGGGGGAGAGTGGGGAGGGGGGAGAGTGGGGAGGTGGGAGAGTGGGGAGGGGGGAGAGTGTGAGAGGGGGGAGAGTGGGGAGGGGGGAGAGTGTGAGAGGGGGGAGAGTGGGGAGGGGGGAGAGTGTGAGAGGGGGGAGAGTGGGGAGGGGGGAGAGTGGGGAGGGGGGAGAGTGGGGAGGGGGGAGAGTGGGGAGGGGGGAGAGTGGGGAGGGGGGAGAGTGTGAGAGGGGGGAGAGTGGGGAGGGGGGAGAGTGGGGAGGGGGGAGAGTGGGGAGGGGGGAGAGTGGGGAGGGGGGAGAGTGTGAGAGTGGGGAGAGTGTGAGAGGGGGGCGAGTGGGGAGGGGGGAGAGTGGGGAGGTGGGAGAGTGGGGAGGGGGGAGAGTGGGGAGGGGGGAGAGTGGGGAGGGGGGAGAGTGGGGAGGGGGGAGAGTTGGGAGGGGGGAGAGTGGGGAGGGGGGAGAGTGTGAGAGTGGGGAGAGTGTGAGAGGGGGGAGAGTGGGGAGGGGGGAGAGTGGGGAGGGGGGAGAGTGGGGAGGGGGGAGAGTGGGGAGGGGGGAGAGTGGGGAGGGGGGAGAGTGGGGAGGGGGGAGAGTGTGAGAGTGGGGAGAGTGTGAGAGGGCGGCGAGTGGGGAGGGGGGAGAGTGGGGAGGTGGGAGAGTGGGGAGGGGGGAGAGTGGGGAGGGGGGAGAGTGTGAGAGGGGGGAGAGTGGGGAGGGGGGAGAGTGGGGAGGGGGGAGAGTGGGGAGGGGGGAGAGTGGGGAGGGGGGAGAGTGTGAGAGTGGGGAGAGTGTGAGAGGGGGGCGAGTGGGGAGGGGGGAGAGTGGGGAGGTGGGAGAGTGGGGAGGGGGGAGAGTGGGGAGGGGGGAGAGTGGGGAGGGGGGAGAGTGGGGAGGGGGGAGAGTTGGGAGGGGGGAGAGTGGGGAGGGGGGAGAGTGTGAGAGTGGGGAGAGTGTGAGAGGGGGGAGAGTGGGGAGGGGGGAGAGTGGGGAGGGGGGAGAGTGGGGAGGGGGGAGAGTGGGGAGGGGGGAGAGTGTGAGAGTGGGGAGAGTGGGGAGGGGGGAGAGTGTGAGAGGGGGGCGAGTGGGGAGGGGGGAGAGTGGGGAGGGGGGAGAGTGGGGAGGGGGGAGAGTGTGAGAGTGGGGAGAGTGGGGAGGGGGGAGAGTGTGAGAGTGGGGAGAGTGGGGAGGGGGGAGAGTGTGAGAGTGGGGAGAGTGGGGAGGGGGGAGAGTGTGAGAGGGGGGAGAGTGTGAGAGGGAGGGGGGAGGGAGAGGGGGGAGGGGGGGAGAGGGAGGGGGCGGCAGCTGACCCTGACGAGAGCCGCGGTGCTCGTGACAGGCGGACGAGGAGCAGATCGCTTCCACCACCACCACCACCACGACTCAGCAGCAGCAGCAGCCATTCACCATCACCATCATGTCAGCTCCCCAGCACTACGATGTGGTCGTGGTCGGAGCTGGGATCTCTGGTGAGTGACGCTCCCTCACCACCCACTCCCTCACCACCCGCTCACTAACCACCCACTCACTCACCACCCACTCACTCACCACCCGCTCACTCACCACCCGCTCACCATCACCCACTCACTCACCACCCACTCACTACCCACCCGCTCCCTCACCACCCGCTCACTCACCACCCACTCACTCACCACCCACTCACTCACCACCCACTCACTACCCACCCGCTCCCTCACCACCCGCTCACTCACCACCATCTCATCACCCCCAACTCCTGGTCTCTGTGATAGGTGCTCGCTAACAGCACTTACCCCAACAGTCCGTACAGTCTACACGGGGCACCTTTGTATTTTGCGCGTGTCAGAGGGAGTGTGTGAGAGGGTGTGTGTGTGACGGCAGTGTGTAAACAATGCGCGTGTTGTGTACACATTGCAACCAGAGAGACAAAGGCGGCCGGGCGTGGTTGCTGGCCGCCCACCGGCTCGTGTGCCACTGTTTCCCGGCCTCCACAGGCGCTCCTGCTGCTGCTGCTCGCTACTAACAGCCACTTGCCCCAACAGCCTGTCACAGGCTACACGGGGGATCTTTGTCTGTGTGTGTGTGAGTGTGGAGCGGTGGTGCAGTGGTTAGCGATGCGCTTCGCTACGAACACGCCCACCCGAGTTCGATTCCCGCTCACGGCCACCAATATCAGCGACAGTTATCTGAACCAGTCCTGGGCCTCCCCCAGGTCGACTCAGCCTCGAATGAGTACTCGGTGTGGTGTTGCAGTAAGCATCGCCACTGGGGAGACAAAGGCGGTCGGGCGTGGTGCTGGCCACCCACCCCCTCGTGTGCCACAGTGCCGGTAAGCCTTCATAGCTGCTACTCGCTCTGCATGTGTGTGTCTTTGTGAGATGGGGCCTTACCATCAGCCCCACCAAAACTAAGCATCTGCCTGGATATTTTGTACCATCGGACACTCCACCCCCACAACTCCCAATCGGTGATGGGGCAGTTGTGGAGAGAGTGGAGAGTTTCCCATACCTGGGGAGTGTGCTTATGACCGGCTCCAGTTTAACAGCAGAGGTCTCACTCCGAATCAGTCGAGCGGCAATATCTTTTCATCGGTTGCGTAACTCTGTGTGGAAGCTACCACCTGGTCTGTCGCTCCGCACTAAGCTTCAGGTCTTCTCGGCCACGGTCATTCCCTCCCTTCTCTACGCTTGCGAAACGTGGACCCCCCCTAATGGAACATCTTCACCGGTTAGAAACATTTAGGCTGGCCTGCCTACGATCCATCCTGGGTTTAACCAGACTGGATTGTGTGAGGAGCTCACAAATCCTTGAAAGATCTGGGCAAGGTCCCATCGGTGAGCTCCTCCGGCGGGGAAGGCAGCGATGGCTGGGTCATGTAGCCCGCATGCCCAGCCACCGCATGCCGAAACAGCTTTTGTTTGGCCGGATTGAGGGGGCTAAGCGGGCGCGGCACGGGCTAGAGAAGAGATGGAGTGATGTGGTGCAGGAGGATGTGGAGCTGAGTGGACTTGCCGATGACTGGTACCAGCAGTGTCAAGATCGGCCTCTGTGGAGGAGGCTCGTGAAGGACACTACTGGGCAGTTGGAGGCAGTCGCCCTCCAACAACAACGGAGGGCGGAGGAGCGACGCTCACAACAACGAGCGGAGCGCCGGGTGGCTAAAGCACAGCAGGTTGGCACAGTAGGGGGCACAGGTGGTGCATCAGCCAGTCATCTCAGTCAGTCGACCCGTGGCACCTGGGTCTGCCCCGTGACCTCCTGCCAGCGGGCGTTCGACACTTCACGTGGCCTCAGGTTGCACATAGCCTGGCACAAGCGTCGTGGTGACGTCACCGCCACTTAGTGGCGAATGGCGGTTGTTGTTGTTGTGTGTGTATGTGTGTATGTCTGTGTGTGTGTGTCTGTGTGTGTGTGTATGTGTGTGTGTCTGTGTGTGTGTGTCTTTGTGAGTGTGTGTGTGTGTGTCTTTGTGAGTGAGTGTGTGTGTCTTTGTGAGTGAGTGTGTGTGTCTTTGTGAGTGTGTGTGTCTTTGTGAGTGTGTGTGTGTCTTTGTGAGTGAGTGTGTGTGTCTTTGTGAGTGTGAGTGTGTGTGTCTTTGTGAGTGTGTGGCTGTGTGTCTTTGTGAGTGAGTGTGTGTGTGTCTTTGTGAGTGAGTGTGTGTGTCTTTGTGAGTGTGTGTGTCTTTGTGAGTGAGTGTGTCTTTGTGAGTGAGTGTGTGTGCGTCTTTGTGAGTGAGTGTGTGTGTGTCTTTGTGAGTGAGTGTGTGTGTCTTTGTGAGTGTGTGTGTCTTTGTGAGTGTGTGTGTCTTTGTGAGTGTGTGTGTCTTTGTGAGTGTGTGTGTCTTTGTGAGTGTGTGTGTCTTTGTGAGTGAGTGTGTGTGTGTCTTTGTGAGTGAGTGTGTGTATGTGTCTTTGTGAGTGAGTGTCTGTGTGTCTTTGTGAGTGTGTGTGTGTCTTTGTGAGTGTGTGTGTGTGTCTTTGTGAATGAGTGTGTGTGTCTTTGTGAGTGAGTGTGTGTGTCTTTGTGAGTGTGTGTCTTTGTGAGTGTGTGTGTGTCTTTGTGAGTGTGTGTGTCTTTGTGAGTGAGTGTGTGTGTCTTTGTGAGTGTGTGTCTTTGTGAGTGAGTGTGTGTGTGTCTTTGTGAGTGAGTGTGTGTGCGTCTTTGTGAGTGAGGGTGTGTGTGTGTCTTTGTGAGTGAGTGTCTGTGTGTCTTTGTGTGTCTGTGTGTCTTTGTGAGTGTGTGTGTCTTTGTGAGTGTGTGTGTCTTTGTGAGTGTGTGTGTCTTTGTGAGTGTGTGTGTCTTTGTGAGTGTGTGTGTGTGTGTCTTTGTGAGTGAGTGTGTGTGTCTTTGTGAGTGAGTGTGTGTGTCTTTGTGAGTGTGTGTGTCTTTGTGAGTGTGTGTGTGTCTTTGTGAGTGAGTGTGTGTGTCTTTGTGAGTGTGAGTGTGTGTGTCTTTGTGAGTGTGTGGCTGTGTGTCTTTGTGAGTGAGTGTGTGTGTGTCTTTGTGAGTGAGTGTGTGTGTCTTTGTGAGTGTGTGTGTCTTTGTGAGTGAGTGTGTCTTTGTGAGTGAGTGTGTGTGCGTCTTTGTGAGTGAGTGTGTGTGTGTCTTTGTGAGTGAGTGTGTGTGTCTTTGTGAGTGTGTGTGTCTTTGTGAGTGTGTGTGTCTTTGTGAGTGTGTGTGTCTTTGTGAGTGTGTGTGTCTTTGTGAGTGTGTGTGTCTTTGTGAGTGAGTGTGTGTGTGTCTTTGTGAGTGAGTGTGTGTATGTGTCTTTGTGAGTGAGTGTCTGTGTGTCTTTGTGAGTGTGTGTGTGTCTTTGTGAGTGTGTGTGTGTGTCTTTGTGAATGAGTGTGTGTGTCTTTGTGAGTGAGTGTGTGTGTCTTTGTGAGTGTGTGTCTTTGTGAGTGTGTGTGTGTCTTTGTGAGTGTGTGTGTCTTTGTGAGTGAGTGTGTGTGTCTTTGTGAGTGTGTGTCTTTGTGAGTGAGTGTGTGTGTGTCTTTGTGAGTGAGTGTGTGTGCGTCTTTGTGAGTGAGGGTGTGTGTGTGTCTTTGTGAGTGAGTGTCTGTGTGTCTTTGTGTGTCTGTGTGTCTTTGTGAGTGTGTGTGTCTTTGTGAGTGTGTGTGTCTTTGTGAGTGTGTGTGTCTTTGTGAGTGTGTGTGTCTTTGTGAGTGTGTGTGTCTTTGTGAGTGTGTGTTTGAGTGAGTGTCTGTGTGTCTTTGTGAGTGTGTGTGTATCTTTGTGAGTGAGTGTGTGTGTCTTTGTGAGTGTGTGTGTGTCTTTGTGAGTGAGTGTGTGTGTGTCTTTGTGAGTGAGTGTGTGTGTGTGTGTCTTTGTGAGTGTTTGTGTCTTTGTGAGTGAGTGTGTGTGTCTTTGTGAGTGAGTGTGTGTGTGTGTGTCTTTGTGAATGTCTGTGTGTCTTTGTGAGTGTGTGTGTGTCTTTGTGAGTGAGTGTGTGTGCGTCTTTGTGAGTGAGTGTGTGTGTGTGTCTTTGTGAGTGAGTGTCTGTGTGTCTTTGTGAGTGTGTGTGTCTTTGTGAGTGTGTGTGTCTTTGTGAGTGTGTGTGTCTTTGTGAGTGAGTGTGTGTGTCTTTGTGAGTGTGTGTGTGTGCGTGTCTTTGTGAGTGAGTGTGTGTATGTGTCTTTGTGAGTGAGTGTCTGTGTGTCTTTGTGAGTGTGTGTGTATCTTTGTGAGTGAGTGTCTGTGTGTCTTTGTGAGTGAGTGTGTGTGTTTTTGTGAGTGAATGTGTGTATCTTTGTGAGTGTGTGTGTGTGTCTTTGTGGGTGTGTGTCTTTGTGAGTGAGTGTGTGTGTGTCTTTGTGAGTGAGTGTGTGTGTCTTTGTGAGTGTGTGTGTGTCTTTGTGAGTGAGTGTGTGTGTGTCTTTGTGAGTGAGTGTGTGTGTGTGTCTTTGTGAGTGTTTGTGTGAGTCTTTGTGAGTGTGTGTGTCTTTGTGAGTGAGTGTGTGTGTCTTTGTGAGTGAGTGTGTGTGTGTGTCTTTGTGAATGTCTGTGTGTCTTTGTGAGTGTGTGTGTCTTTGTGAGTGAGTGTGTGTGTGTCTTTGTGAGTGAGTGTCTGTGTGTCTTTGTGAGTGAGTGTGTGTCTTTGTGAGTGAGTGTGTGTCTTTGTGAGTGAGTGTCTGTGTGTCTTTGTGAGTGAGTGTGTGTGTCTTTGTGAGTGAGTGTCTGTGTGTCTTTGTGAGTGTGTGTGTCTTTGTGAGTGAGTGTGTGTGTCTTTGTGAGTGTGTGTGTCTTTGTGAGTGTGTGTGTGTCTTTGTGAGTGAGTGTCTGTGTGTGTCTTTGTGAGTGAGTGTCTGTGTGTCTTTGTGAGTGTGTGTGTATGTCTTTGTGAGTGAGTGTGTGTGTTTTTGTGAGTGAGTGTGTGTATCTTTGTGAGTGTGTGTGTGTCTTTGTGGGTGTGTGTGTGTGTCTTTGTGAGTGAGTGTGTGTCTTTGTGAGTGAGTGTGTGTGTCTTTGTGAGTGAGTGTGTGTGTCTTTG